TCGTGCCTCTGAGGCCAGCGCTGCGTTAGACCTGGGCGATGGTGCAGCTGTGCTGCAGAGCAGCCCAAGGCAGAGCTACCGCTGGGGCACGCAGCGTGGCAGGGGGTGTGTGTTCGTGCTGGGGCAGCACGGAGCCCTGTGGAGCCGCCCTCCTGCTTCACCGCTGGGTGAGACGTTACTTGCTGAATTACCGAGGAGTGTGCTGGGGGGAAACCTGCGTCCTATTCCTGGCAATCCGGAGTGAGAAAATACATCGATCTAGCACCACATAAAGATAAAACAATTCTAGGTTGATACGGCTGAAATTTCTGCAGAGAACATTCATTTCAGCTGGTGGCAAGTGGTACTTGCGATTCCTGGGCCCCCGGGGCCTTTTGGCAGAGATTTGGCAGCATCTTCCTGACTTGATGCTGTTAACTCAATCGTCTTGAGTCATTTGTCTAAAAACAACTCCCTGCTGCTGAGGAAAGCACCTAGTGGGTGCCTGCCAGTCAGAAGAAAGTAGCTCCGTGTTGAAAGGTCACAGAATTACAGCTCTTAGAGAAAAGTGGAGAGGTGCTAAGGTCTCCGTGCCCTGGTGCTGCTCTGGAGCAAAAATCAAATGAATATTTACTCAAGGAAATTCACTCATTGTCTGTCCCACTCATGTCAGTAAGTAATGTTTCTACCATGTTCTTATGAGTCTGCATTGGCAAATGGGAATTGGATTAAATCTAAGCTAAACTTTCAGTGAAATGCCATTCTCTGAACAAATTAAAAACTTGAGGTAATGTCAGTGTTGCTTGCCTTTGCAGATAGGGTAGTGCTCGGGAGTTTCTGCTGAGTTTCAGTACTGGTAAATTCTGGAAATAATGTATATGTGTGTATGCTTTTTTTTTTTTTAACCCTTTTCCTTAAACTGAGAAAAAGTTAAGGCTGTACATCTGGTGAAGGGTAAGAAACTTACACATTTCTCACTCTTTCTTCCCACGCGCAGGGAATGTCAGCCAAACTGAACGTTACTCTTGAGATTCCTGGAAAGGCTGTAATGCCCAAAGTATGACACTTGCTAGGAGCCATGGTAGGAGGGGACAGGGAAATAGAACACAGCACACCACTAACAAGATCAGTTATTTTAATTTTCTATATTTCTACGTTAGTAGCAGTTGAATTTCTTGCTCTGCAAGTAGCATATCTGGCTTTGATTGGAATATGCCTTTTAGGGGAGCAGGGAGATGTGGTGTGTGGGTTTTGTAGAGTGGTAGGGTTTTTTTCCTCCAAGGCTGGGGGCAAACATGATGTCTTTTAGCATGCCTCTTGCAAGGTCTTGGCAAATCGTTCCACTGCTTTGCCTCGGAACAGAGAGAATTGTTTTTTTTCCTATTATGCAGTGATTTGAAAGGTGCTTAAGCACTTCATACCAATCCTGAAAATAAGCCTGAAACTGAAAGCAAACCAGCTCTTTAAAGATACTTGTTCTTCTAGGATGTTCTGGGAGGTTTCCTTGAAGTATCTTAAAAAATTCTCCAAAGCTTTCTGAAATATACATCTCCGTCAGTTCCTGCTCCAAGAAGAATGCCTCCAAGATTCCATTTTCCCCCAGTCTCATTTGTTATACAGTTGATGATGTTCCTATGTCTGCAGAATTGTTTCCTGTGATGATCTGTAGGCTTCCGCCTCTTTCACTCTTGTGACACGGGTGAGGTAAAAGGTGACAGACAGCAGTGTAAGGAAGAGTGTCTGTAGAGGGGGTCATGAAGGAAGACGAGTCTGCTGCTAGGGGAGATAGTAGGTGTGTAAATCAAAACTAAGACAACTTTTTCCTCTGTTAAAAGTCAAACCTTGCCCTCTAAGATGACCAAGTTAAAACTTACGTTTGAATCCTGCCTAATAAAAGGCTGTATCCTGTGTTTTGGAGTGAAACCACGTACCTAGTTTTGTGTGCTTCACGTTGCAGTGACCCCAGTGTGCTGGGAGGTCCAGTGTGTAAGCTGCTCAGTGGCGCAGGACTGCCTGGCAGAGCATACTGGGCCTGTATGGCCCTGGACAAGCCGCAGCAGCAAGAAGTTCAGTGTAGGCCCATTTACAGGCAGGCTTTGCTGAGCTCCTTTCTTGGCTGGGCTGACTTTAGAAGCCCCAAGGTAGCCAAGGTAAAGCTCTGTGCTGCAGTCAGATAGATGGGGGCTCGTTCACTTGGATTGACTTGCTCAGTGATGTAGTGCTGAGACGTTGAATCCTTTGAAATCATGAGGCCACAGTGGAAACTCACCGTGTGCATGAGCGCACGAGTGCCTGCTCCTGAGCTCTCTGCAATGAAATGAACTGCAGCTTCCACTGTCTAGTCATATTTTGTCCTTCCCTTGCAATATCTTGCTAGAATTTCTTAAGTTTTTCTTGAGAAACTAGAAACAGTATTACTAAGAAGCCAATCCTAAGAATATTTTTTGTATTATTTTTTCATAGCTGAGCAATAGGCCAATAGAGGGATATATTTTTAAACTGTCAGAAGAGCAGCTGTTTTACAATGCTTATATTCCTGAAATAGGAGCAGGTTTGTGTTGAGCACAGTGCTGGAGGTGCTAACTTGTGCTAATGCCTCTGCTCTCGTGTACAGTGCTGTGGCACCATGAGCTTCACATACAAATCGTACGCAGTGCTTGTTCTGTTCCAAAATACATCGACAAGCAAAAAGGCAGCGCTGCTTCCCTCCCACCCCAAACAAGGAATCGTGATTTAGAAATTTTTACAGTGAAAATAGTATTCGTTTGGCCGAGGCTGATGGCAGTATCTAAGGGATTAGAAGCAGTAGAGGAGAAAAGCAATAAGCTTGTAACTTAAACTACAGGCCTGCAAGGACGGGCCACAGTCGTAATGTCTTGGTCAGGTTTGTTTTATTTTTCTCGAACCAGAGTTCAAAAGCTAGAGTTGGTTTCTTGATATAAAGCTGCGTGTTCCATTGCCAGCCTAGTATAATACTTAAGGGTCTGGTTTTTGAAAAGATGAAATATTAACTTATTTAAAGGAAAGCTTCGCTTTGTAATGTAAAGATCCTGTGAAGCTGTTGATTTGCTGAGTGGATTTGGACAAGCAGTAGGATTGCTGTTCATGTGATCTGTCTGACAATGAGTATAGCAGTAAGAGGGGTAGAAACAAATACTTAACTTGCATAAACTTTTGAGGCATCATTCATTTTTATTTTATTGGAGGATGATAAGCCAGGATGAAAATCACAAGCATTTGAGTGTTGGCTTTTACCTCAAAATGCAGGAGCTTGCCAAACTAAAATTGTTCTGCACGGTCTAATAACTGCATTCTGACCTAAGGGACCTGGGTGTAAAAATGTTCTTCCTGGTGCTGTGAAGCTTTAATTAATTTTTGAGATTTATTTAGGGATATTTTTCATGGAGTTTTAGAGGTGGTACAATCTTAAAACTAGTTTTTTTCCTGCATGTAAAGACTTCCTTATCTTGAGTCTTCAAACGTAAGATTTGGCTCACAAGTTTGTGTTGCGCTGATAGCAGAAATGATGCTGCGGATTATGGAGTGCTTTAACCAGACTTGCAAAAAAAAATCCCTGTAGTTTTATAGATAGCAAAGTTCTTCCTTTCAATTAGAGGATAATTAAAAACTTTTATTTCTTGTCTGAGGGAATACATTTTTGTCCAGCTGTGTGCAAAAAATGTTTACTCGGGATATATGAGGAGCCAAACACAAAGCTTAATGTTAAGCATTTTTAGTGTTGAGGGTTTTTTTTAAGTTGAGCAAAGAGCACTACTCAGTAAGCTTGTTTTAATTTTCACTTTTTTAATGATCTTTATCTTCTACTCCTGTTGTTTAACTGGAGAAACAACGCATTAGTAAAATTTCAAGCAAAAATAGGATTTGCTTTAAAAAAATAATGTGGCTTCTGTGGCATGCAGTGGAGTAGCACTGAGACTGCGTCATGACACAACTGGACCCGTCCTTTTATTTTCCTGCATACTTTGCAGGTGATCGTGTGCCTTGGGCATGGGTTTGTGTGGATCATGTCCCTGTTTCAGACAGAAACACGGGAAGAGGATGTGCAAATATGCATACCTAATGTGAGATTAAGCTGGTCTTCAGGATTGGCTGCCTTTAGTTTGAAGCAAACCTTGTTCTTTTCTAAATAGTAATTTCTTCCTTCTGTAGGTGGAAGGAACCAAAAACTATTCCATTAACTTCATAGGGCTTCCATGGACAGACAGAGGATGCCAAGTGGATAGCTTAAGAAAGGGGGAGAAATTTAAAAAAAGAAAAATAAGACAAACCTACACCGCACAAAAACAAACAAAACAAACAAAAAATACCACCAGGCAATCAAAAACACATCTCTGAAAAAAAAGAGGTCATCTGTTCAGCATCTTACCTGAACTGTTCAATGAAGTGTGAAGGTTTTGGAGAAGCCTGAGGGAAGGATGTACTACTACTAGTCAGGCAGTATATACAAGGTAGATTTGGACAATAGATTCGGCTGTTGGGATAAAAGGAGATTAGGATGTAGGAGAGAAGGAAGTGGAGAGGTTTTAACTATGTCTCAGGAGTTCAGGTTAGGGGGAAAAAGTCAAAATAGCATGTGACAGGAAGAGAAAAAGGGTAGCGAAAAGCTAAGAGTGGGAAGTAGGTTACATGTAACAGTTTCACAGGGACTTCTGTAAGAACTTTTTTAATTTCATTTTCTGCTTTCCAGTGGTACATGTGTTGGCCTAGTTGTTGACTCAGGAAACTTTACTAGGTGCATACCTGAAGAGGAGTATGCATAAATTAGGATATAATTAATGTCTGCAAAAAGGAGTGTGCTTGCTTGGTTAGCACAGGGAACTGGATCTCTTCAGCTCTTCCACTGACTCACCGAGCCTCAAGAGCTGGCAGGAGGAATACTGACTCCTGTTCTACCCCAGAGCAGGGTAGGGAGGCTCTACTAACACCTGAAGTATGCTTTGGGACAAGTCAGTTATCTCATGTGTCTCACTTGTAGCCAAACGTTTGATTCAGTGTGGACTTACCATATCTTTTTTTTTTTTCTTCCAGTTACCATTTCTTCAACTGCAGAAAAAGGTAATTTTTTTTTAAGATGTGAATAGTTTTGTTGCATGCAAGTCTTCTGGGACATAGACATTAACATGCTCCTTTATTTGTATGCTCTGTGTAGTGAGTCAATTAGTGCTAAGAAACAAGGTAAATATTGTGAGATTGGACCTGGTTAGCTTCTAGAACCACAAGCCTAGGGTGATGACAAGACCTGTGAGTAACACAGCTATGATTTAGGTTTGCAAATATTTTTAAATAAGTACCTTCTAAGAGCAGAAAGCGAGAAGGAACTGTAGCAGATCCACAAGTCCATTTTCTGTTTATTCCTGAACACACCCTGTGACCTGAAAGACTTCTGGAGGAGGAATAATTGTTCTATTGCTTGCTGTTTTCCAGACAGTTCTGAGGAATTTGGTAAGCTGTTCTTTAAGACTGGTTAGAACTATGCAAAACACAAAGGCACATTACAATTTTAAATTTTCAGGTCAAGTGGTTAAGGCCTTGTTTTTGACAGACTTTACTGAAGTCTTCACATTGTCTTGAGCAAGTGTAATGCTACAGTGGGTAGTACTTACAGAGATACAAACTGACCCAAACCATTCCAGCATTCTTGCTCTGCCATTTCTTTTAATTGTGAACAAAAAACAGTGTAAAGGATGATTCAATTCCAGGAGTTCAAAATACATCTTTTTACAGAATTTTTTTTTTTTTTTTTTAAAAAAATACAAAATATTGATGGGATAATTGTTTGGGAGTTCATTTCAGCTTATGGGGGGAAGTGAGTGGTAGATTAAGTGCAGATTTGCATTTTGACTGTCCACAGAGGGATGTCTTCAGTATGTGAGACCACTGGTAAGAGGCTCTCTCATCTCTTACATATTTTTGCAAAAGAGCATAGAATTTGAAGCTAGACTAACAATTTTATTCCTGATGGGGAACATCCAGGGGAACACGGTGTGAAAGGAAAGAACCTTGATGGACTCTGTCCCCTTTCATCTTCTAATGAAGAGGTGAAAGAGGGAGAAAATCTCCAAAATCAACTTTAAGCTGTAAGATGGGAGCTGTGTTTTACTCTGAGTTTGTACATCACATTGCACAGCTGAGCATCACCTAGACTTCACAAACTTCTGCAGAGGGCTGCTGTACTTTATTGTTGACCTGGATATGCATAAAGCTAAGCTTTCCAGTTTCTTCCAGGAAGACAAGAGCCATGTCTCAGTTAAGGAAACCTGGCAGAGCAATGGTGGTGTTGCATAGTCAGATCTCTGGCTTTAAAACAAACAGGGTACCTGTCTGACTGAAGCAGGTGCTCTTAAATCTAACAAAGAAGAAAAATGCTTGATTAATTAATAAGGACCTGACTGTTAGGCTTTTCATTTGCCACCTGCATGCTGCTTGCACCTTCAATTCTAAGCATGTCATAGTAATCCTGTATGCATGACTTTCTTTACCAGGGAAGTTGACCATAAAATGAGATGGGAAGTCTTTTTTCATTTGAAATGAACGCTATTGGAAGCTTTATAAAATTCCTGTAAAGTAACTCACAATAGCCAAAAATAACATCAGAACAGTCAGAAGGCCAGGGTATCAGTAATGTTGCTGTATAAGTTAATTATGTGTGTCTGAGCAAATATATTTTATTCTGTATTTCAGTGTACTGTGTTCAAATCCTTTTACTCCAGTACTTCATTAGAATTTTTGATTAAATTAGTGGTGATTTCTTCACCCCATTAAGGCTAATTATTTCTTTGTAATTTTGTGTTCTTGTCTAGATTTATATCAATTAGGATAGGGGAATAAAATAACTCTGATTCTTTCAATTTTTTAACAGTGTAATGTAATTCTCTTTTACATTATTACCTCTCTGTAATCTGACTTTGTCTTGGAAGTAGTATTAAAAATTATTCAGAAAAGGATGTTAAGGGCAAATCTTGGGAGGGCTTAGCATATTTTAAGAGGATTCTAAGAGCATGTCTTAAGACATTGTCCTTCTGAGGGCATAAAACATGGTCTAATGTGCATCAGTGCCTTTAAGAGAAGTGACTTCACTTGGTCAGAGCATGGCACCAGGAATCCTGGATTCTCTCAGTTTATCCAGGACTTCTTCATGCCTCTGAGTCTGGCTAAACTGACAGATATTTGGGCTTGAGGTTTTTGTCGTATTTTCCATCTAGCTTGTGATTACAAGGAAATGATCTGAATAGGAATGAGGCTGGTTTATATTTGCGCTGGAAGCTGATGCAAGATACTTCAGGGAGTAGTCTGCAGAGGAGATACTGCTACCCAAAACATGGGTAGATGGACTGGCAAAGTAAAGCCATCTAAAATGGTATCTTCCCTCCCTTTGATTTCCTGGGGAGCACTTTCAGGACAGATACCTGTAATTGTAGTAGGAATGGCAGCAGAGGAGTGGGAGAAGCAGCGAGAATTTGTTGGATGCACAGCCCAGATGGGCTGCCAATTGCAGGCTCTTTCTCCTCTAGACTGGGCAGTGCCTATTACTGGAAGAGCTGTGGGAGCCTTGCTCTTTCTTGAGTTGCTCCAGTTTGGCTACTGAGGACAGGCCCTTGGCTTTTAGTGATAGTGATAGATTCCAAGATCTCAGTTACTGCAAAAATGCAAGAGCATTTTAGCAGCTGCCTCTTCCCAGTAAATACTGGTAGCACTGGCACTGATCTGTGCATTTGCTGCAGTCAGCCTTGGTGTCTGTGTGGTGTTGGGGCATTTACAGCCTGTGACAAGACTTTGAGGTCCTGCTGTCTGAAGTATTGTGTGTGCAGTAAAAATAATCCTTCAAAAGAATCTGAATTCTGGGGGTGATTTTTATGAATGGAATAAAACAAAGGCTGTTTACTGTGTAAGTTAGTTGTGCTGTGCCCTGCCCTTCCCTGTATCTCGTTTCCTCTTTCCTTCTATTCAGTTCCTCTCTTCTCCCCTAGAGTTCTGGTCTGTGCAGCTGATTCCACTCCAATTTTGTGTCCATTTCTCCTCTTTTCCAGTTTTCTCACATTTTAATTGCTTGACTGCATTATGTTTGAATGTGTATAGTATGCTTTTAATAAAAGATGATTTCTAATTATTCAGTGCCTAGTACAGTGATGCATGAGTTCTTTCCTATCAGGGTGAGAATTTTAGGATAGCTTTAGAAAAGGGCTTCCTTTTTTGCATTTCTCATCAGCCCCACAGCTGAAGATTTGCCAAATCTGTCTATAAGGTTGGAGGAGTCGGAGGCAAAGGTAAAAAGCATAATTCTCTGAAGAAAGATCCAATATAGTTTTTCTGCCTGCAACAAGCAATTAAAATCCTGAAAGGGGATAAAGTGAGACCACATCTTCTGTGACTGTGCACAAGCATTTTCTGAGCTGTTGGAAGTTCCCAAAGTTTCCAAGCCTGTTCTGCCATCCATGAAGTACATCATGTGGCTTCTTAAAGGGGCTCTCTTTATGTGTACAGGAAAGTAGATAGTTTCCTTCTTCCTGCAACTGTAGTTAATATAAGTGAAGATAATGCAAATATTTAGTATGACTTCTTTTCCAAGGTTTGCTGTTCTGACATGACTGATCTGTTTCCTCCTGACAAGTGATAAAAGAAACCGTTAGAGGAAGGAAGAAAGCTTCCTGGGTCACAAGGTCTGGGTATCTGGTCCTCAGGGCAACATTGATAAATTGATTGAGCTCCCTAATAAAGGCTTCTACTTTTTGGTGCCGCTAGGACTTTAGTAGCAGGACTCTTCCAAATTATATTTCTCTGATTTGAAAGAAGGTAATTGGACAATTTTTAACGCTCAGCTAGCTCTCATCTTGGAAGTGCAGTGCTCTCCAGAGCCATGGTTTGGAGTTCTTTCTGTCATCGATGACCAGTGCCTTCTACGATGGAACGATACCATGCTGTTTTTATTGAAGAAGTTAAACTGAATTCTGTAGGTCAATTATCAAATACTTTACTATGATCTAGAATGGAATTGTAGCATCTTTTTCCAGAAAGTATAGTTACATGCCACAGGTGAAGCTGTGTTCAGTTCTGTTTTTTTGTTGTGGTTTGATGGGGGGGGGATTGTTGGTTTTTTTTTATTTGCTTGTTTTGGTTTTTTTTTTCCTTCAAAGTCTCTTTTGGAATTGTACATAAAAGCGTATCATTTCCTTGATGAATAGCAGCCATCACATTTGACGATGGGTGTGTGTTTGTTTAAAGTGAGCACTCCTAGAGTGCTAAGTCCTCCCAGGGAAAAGAGTTTTTCATATCTTTTAATTTCATCAGGTGATTCACAGCATAGTAGTTTAGCACTCATCAAAGATCAGGGATTTTATTTCTTTTCAACTATATTGACTAAACATTTATTTGTATTTTATTGCAGTAATCTACCTTGTGATTTTTCATCTATCATTTGCAATGTTTGTGTGGTCCTATTGGAAGACAATTTTCACATCTCCTGCATCGCCCTCTCATGAGGTAACTATAATGTTAGGAAAATCTCAGTGCCTTTTTTATAAATAGCTGAACTGTTTTCAGTGATGAGGCTTGTTAGCAGTGCCGCATGATTGACCTTTCCCTTCTCATTATCTAAAATAGAACAGCATGACAGTGTATCGTGAATGAAAATGGTTGAGTTGGTCTCAAGATACTGTATACTTTGTGTAATGACATTTCCTTACACAATGTGTGTTTATTTCATCACAAGTTTGACAGGCATGTACAGTGCTTTGCTATGAGGTAGCTTGCTTGAAACCTGGAATTTCTAAAATTGATAAATCAAACACAGTGACAACATTTTTATATTTTCGTTTTAGGCAGTTTTGACCTTTCTTTGGGTAAAAAAATAGTAATGCAGTGTATACTCAGCCTGGAGGACTGAGCCACTTAATAGTAAGTCAGGTGTTAAAGTTTTGGGACAATTGAGAAGTGAATATATAAAGGGTTATATAACAGAAAAAGAAAGCATGATCACTGTAAGAAGTTTTGGGTTGAAAAAGAGCAGTATTAATTGCAATGTCTGAGATGGATTACGTTGTTTTCTATTTTCTCTAAGGAGTGAGTATATAAGGATTAAATACTGGCACCAAATTTAAACTACTTCCCCTCCCTTCCTTGGTTTTATGAAGCTTTTAAATTGGCTGAGCTGTTTGAGGCTCTGACTGCTCTGTGGGGGTTGAATTTATATTCTATTTTCTGCAAGTCTGACTTTCTGTGCTAATGTCAATTTTAAACATTTTTGAAGAGTTAAGATCGTGCTTCTAAGGAAAAGCAAACACTGCTCTGCAGTGCTTAATTATGGCTTAGAGATCTGTATCTTAAAGCCACAGAATATAAAGTGGAAAAAAACCTGAAGACTGTTCTGCTGTTTAGCTAAGCAAAAAGAGTAGTACTGAATTGTTAAACCTAAAAATTCAAAGGGACTGCTCTTCAGGGCAGTTGGTTTTAGCTTCATCTGGGATGGTTCTGCAGGAAAATGATAAGGTTAAGCAAATTAGCTAGTTAAAATGTGGTTGGAGCTGCATTATTCCAGGTTTTGTAAAGCCATATGAACTAGAGCTGCTCGTAAAGCTAATGCCTAGTAACTTGTCCTGTCTACTTGGATTCTTCAGTAATAGAAAACTTATTCTCACAGTGCTTATCCTTTAGTTACAGTAACGTTTTAGCAAACTTTTCACATTCAGCACGTGAAAGGGATGGCTTGGGCATATGACATGTAATGAGTATTTCTTATATCAGGTGTGAGGGTAGATCACATTTAATACAATTTTCTTCTACAGCTAGCTTTAAAAAGGAAAAAAAACAAACAAACAAACAAACAACACACGTCAACAAAAAACAGCAAAAGCGCATACACCAAAAAAAAAAAAAAAAAAAAAAAACCAAAACACAAAAATTAACCAAACAAAACCACCCACCACCACTTTTACTTTCGCTGGGCAAGTCCCTTCTGTTCTTGTACCAGCAAGTGATCTATGCTGGCTATACTTAAAAACAAAGCCTGACTTCAGAACCTCACCACTGTATGAGTGTAAACATATATATTTTTAGTCATTCAAATTAGTGATTCTTGCAAAACAAATAGCATCCTGTGATCTTACTGTTGAACTAAAAAAAAGGTTCTGCAGCTGCTGTTGTCTTAGTGTAATCCCTCCACATTTGTCACAAGGAAGAACAATCAACATTATGCAAGATCCAGAAAGAGGAAGGAAACAAAGGGACTCTTTCTGTTTTCAGTAAGAACTGCTGGAACCTCACTGGAAATTCTGCTTGCTGTGTGGTAACAGACATCTTTTGATGGCTTTGAACATATCCTGCCATTGTCCAAAGATACTGTTGTCTCATGGCCCTATTAATTTCTGAAATTAGAACAAAAATATAGCTCTTCAGAAAACCAAAATCCTAGCTAGGATTTTTGGAGTAATGTTATCGTTACTTGGACAAATTAAAGTTTTAAATCTTGTGAGTTAGTTCCTTTTCTGTGCATTAATGATTTGGCACAGAAATGTCATCTAGAAGTAGTATTTCATGTTTAATGCAACCTCTGCCTGATTACAGGTCATGGTGACAGGCATTGGGTCACCTAGCAGACTCACAAGGGCAGTAGGGAGGAAAGCATTCTGCACCAGTGTTTGATGGCATGATGTTTCCTATCTGTCTTAAGCTTATGATGTGAGCATCTCCAGTTCTCATATGCGTGTAAATTTCTATTTTAGAGATTAGGATTTAAAAAATAGGTCAAACTCCTGGTGATGACTGAAATGTTAAACTTTAATTTCACCCTTCACGTAGTTTAATCCTAGTTTCCAATTATTTAGAAGGGTGAACATGAACGTGTTTCAGGTTTCCCCCTTGAATGGTGGGTAGACTCAATAAGTGGGGTGATACTGTAATATCACAGGAGGTTTAACTAGGTTCTGTAAGATAGGAGGCAACTTGTTTGCTTTCAGGGTTAAAAAGTAACACAAATTGCAGAAATGTCTTACTGCCTCCTCCTTTCTTGAAGTGGAGTTTTCATTGTTGCTTGCCAACTGTAATCCAAAAGGAAAAAGTACAGGATGAGAGGAAAATCCACGTGAGCTAATCATATACATATTCTTGGTAGAAAAATATGGTCACATTAAACCACACTAAGCCAATTTTTGTTCTGCTGCACACAGCATTTTTCCACTCATTACTATGAATACTTTGTCTATGTGTGCTCATAAAAAGGGCTCCTATACTCCATGCAGAAGGCTCAGAGTTTAAAAGTGCTTTGGAACAGAAAAACGCCAAAGGAAGTAGTGAGCTTAGCCCCCCACTCCACAGGGTCTTTTCAGCACACTGGGTTTTGTAGAGCTTAATGGTAAAGCTCATCATTTCAGCTGATGCCGAACTAAGAGTTTCACAAGTGAGTAAAAGCTCTCCAGGATCTTTGGGTAAAGCTTTACAGTTCAGTGAGGCTTCAACAGGAATGGTCCTCATGCTTTACTCAGAGTTTTAACTCTCTCTCAAGCTGTACAGGCTTTGATGAAATTGCTTTCAATACAGCTCATGGATTTTGAGACTAATCCTGACCACTCCCAAGGAAAAACTCCAGTTAAATGCTTTTCAACTTCTGTGCTTAAACCGTGAGGCCCACCCCCCTTTCCCCCTCCTTTTTTTTTTTTTTTTTCCCCCCACCCCTTTCTTGTTTGTGCTCTTCAGTCAGAGACAGGAAGTGGAATAAGAACTTTAGTGCCCTGTGACAGCGAAGGACTGTTGTACCTTGTTCAGAGATCAATTAATTTACACTTATTAGGAATTGAAGGAAAGATTGTGCCTTCTTAAAATTCCTCTGAGTCTCTGTTTTCTTCTGTGTTGAAGAGAAAATGCTATAGATAAGGAAGCAGAGACAGAGATTTTCTGTAAAATATGCCCAGGGCCATCATGGAGTTTTAAGGTTCTTCAGTAATTCCTGTAGCATTCTTTTTTTTTTTTTTTTTAATGTGTTTTTTTTGGGGTCAGTGGGTGGAGGTTGTCCAGAGACAAAGGATCTTGGAGCTTGACTAGCACACATAAGTAATCTCTTCCTGTTCTGCCATTTTCTTCCTCCTACCTAGTTCTGCTTATCAAAAGCTGATAAAGAACAATATGAAAAAGAGGAGAGACCAGAATCCCAGCAGGAGATTTTGAGAAGAGCTGCTAAAGACTTGCCTATCTATACGACAACAGCATCGGGAGGTGAGGTATAAGGATAATTCAGTGCTCCTGAAGCTGCTAGTTTAATTCAGTGAAATTCATTTGATGTCACTGACTGAACAATCTATTAAGCGCATATTGCAACGGCCATGACCTTATTTTGTAATTTCTTTGGGCAAGTTTCCCACCCTCCACCCCCCCCAAGAGAAACTGGAGTCCTTTGTCTGGGGATCTTAACATGTAGCCAGTATTTGGAATAAAAAAAGAAAACAAACTCTTCTAACAAGCAGAGAGATTACAATGTTTAATTGTGGCTATAAAAAATAATTGCAGCAAAGAAATATAGCTAATAGAAAATTAAACTTTTTACTCAATTTTATAATCATTTATATCCCCTTTCAGTCTTCTTTTTTTGAGCTGTATCAGATCAGCAGGAGGTGAAACATCATACTTAAGGCTAGAATTTAAGAACGAATAAATGTTGTTTCATTCCCATCTGTAATTCGATACAAAGTGAGTTATGGGCTATTTCTGTATTTGCCTTTAATGTGGATAGGGATTTTATTCAAATTTATATATGAATGATCTGTGAAACTGCTGTCTTTATACATATGTATATTCTTTAAAAATAAGGCAAAAAAAAAATCTAGCTTTAATGTGTGTATATATATCTGGTTTTCTTTCTTGAAACTAGCAACCTTGTAGAATTTTCCATAGAAAACCATAAACTACTTGGAATAACTGTTAACAAAGTTCACTGTGACTTTCCAAGCAAAGTCTAAGGACATGTGACTTTCTTGAATACAAGCCTTCCTTTAAGGGAGTCCCAGTCTTAAGTTCCTGGAGTGGTCTGGGAAGCTCTTTGCAGTTCTGCTTAGCTGTAGGTGTTGGCTTTCCTCCTCCTTTCAAACAGTCTGTGCTGATGTCTTATTTCCATTGAGAAGAGCCTGAAGGCTTGTTTAAAAATACCCAGAAAAGATGAGGAAAAGCTGATTTACTGAACAGTTTGCTAGATCACTATTTGCTGAAGAGACTGGAGAAAGCTAACACAGAAAGCTGGCTTGTTGGAAGAATGCCATTTCACAATAGTATGCCCAGGTACCCTGTCCAGAAGGAAGCAAGTGATGGACTGGTGCCAGAGGGTGAAGGATGGGAAGACTGGGAGGCGAGGGAGTAAATGGAAATGGACTCAGTATGGCTGTAATAGAGGAAGGTGTTTTAAATGCTTTCATATGTTACATTTCTGAAACTGAAAAGCAAATCTCATATGAGAATAGGCATATGAACACCTGTGTGAATAGGTGTGCCTGGGAGGGCAGGAAGCTCTTTAAGATTTGGTTCATGTTAAGGGGGAGAATCTTTGTCAACTGCAGAGAGTTCTAATGCCCTGACCCTTGCCACTTGAATGCAGCTATCAGATACTGCGATCGATGCCAGCTAATCAAACCTGACCGCTGCCACCATTGTTCTTCATGTGACATGTAAGTTACTGAATCTGAAACGATGGATTTTCTCTCTACTGCAGTCGCTTCAGTTTGTTCACGTCTTCAGTGTGTCAGCCCTTGCATAACTGGACATTTTACTGTTTGTTCCTCTCTCAGACCCTCAGTACCTGAATTTCATGAAAGAGCAAAGTTCCTCCTGTTGGCGCAGGATACTATTGCAGCTCTATTGTCCAAAGTGACAAAATGTTTTAGGAAACCTGCTTGTAGCTGTGTAAAACTGTGCTTTTAAAAAAAAAAAAAAAAAAATTCAGCTATTGAAAATAAAGGCAGGTCTGAGATACCAGCACAAGCAAATGCTTATTATAGAACTCTCTTGTTGTATCTTGCTTTTGCAGCCTTGAAACAGGTGTGTCCTACTAATAATGCTAAAAATCTTATCTCGAAGATTGACAGTGGAATTTCATGCCTTAACCATTTCAAAGACATCACTGCTATCACCTAGCTTTTTTCTGAATCATCAGGGAAGTCAGTAAGGGCACTGAAGACTGAGGCTATGAATAAGACTTCAGTAGGCTGAGCTTGAGGAAGTCTGCTTAACTGAAGAACCTAATACACATCTATTGACTAAAATCATATTTAGTAGCAAATACAGTGAATATCTCTGTGTCTGAAATGTCTAGTATCTGGCCTTATACTAAAACTGGATGAAAATGACATGTGGACTATGCAGATTACCTACCCACTCTGCTGCTCTTTTTCTCAATTAGTTTTAAAAAACAAACAAGTGGCAAACAAAAAAAAAGGTGATAAAAGAACCCTAAGGTAGACTTAGTTGAAGTGAATGACAGGCTAACACACCTTAACCACACAACTCTGGAGGGTCCCTTGGATTTGTCTTATCTCAATGTGCACATAAAAACTAGCATGGCTTAATGAACCACTACATGGTGTTGTTAAGTAATGCTCCCCATGCTAATTTGAGAAACTTTCTTCATAACTCTTCTGAATCTCAGGTGGTCCTTCTGACTGAAAGGATGGTAGCTATAATACAGAGAATTGGTATGACTGAGAAGGACTTGAAAAAGATACAGTGAGGCTAAATACTTGAAAACAAACAAACAAAAAAAACCTACAAACCTGTAGGAGTTAAAAATGTGTCCTAGAAATAAAATGTCTTTTCCTCTGACTGATTAGAAATTCTCTTTCAGATGTGTACTCAAAATGGACCACCACTGTCCATGGTAAGTTTATAAAAACAAAAAAATCAGTATAATAATGAGTTAGATGCTGCTTCCAAAATGAAATTTTGAAGTAAAACTTGATTTTCACATAAATTCCTGAGGTTTTAGTATGTGAAAATAAATCTTGTTCCTAACATGAGTTTCAATGTAGGAGTTGTAGGCCTAGTAGCCCAAATTGTTCAATTTCTCCTCACGTGGAGAAACCCTGGTGTTAATAAGAGCTATGAGAAGTGGCATTTCTTTCTTTGGTTTAGTTTGGTGGTGGTACCAGGAGGAGAGATACCTGCCACACTGTGAAAGTCAGCTTTCAATTCTAGCTGATACAGAAGGCCCACTTAGTTTCTCTTCTGCAGTTTGTATTCACTGGTAGTCAGTAAAATATTACCTGTTGTCACTATGAAAATACTGCTGCCTGTAATTGGCCTGAAGGTGGTTTTGTAAGCAGAGCAAGTGCCACTGAACTGGCTGTTGGCTCGGATTATCTTCTGCATTGCCTGCAGTTAGTTCCTAGCGTGTGAGGCGCTTCCTCTGCAGGCTGCACGTCTCGTACGCTTTGCCAGCCCAGCTCCTGTCCTGTAGAACTTGGGGGGGGGGAGGAGAGGGGGACAAATTTATGTGAGGGGCCAAGGTCATTGGGAATGAGGAAAGAGACTTCATTCAAAATGGTGGCTTGAAATGCTAGTGCCAGACTGTTTTGGACATACCTCTGACATCATACACGTTATGCTCTGCAAAAGCTGAATGTATTGGGTTTTCTTTTATTTTTTGTATATCACAGTAACCTCTTTCTCTTTCCCCTCCTTCTAGGGTGAATAATTGTGTGGGATTTTCTAACTACAAATTCTTCCTTCTGTTTTTAATGCATTCCTTACTGTGCTGTCTGTTTGTTGCTGCTACAGTCTTGCAGTACTTCATAAAGTTTTGGACAGTAAGTTCTAAGGCTTTTTGTTGTTGTTCATTTGTTTAATCCTGCATGTGTTACTGGAGGCTGCATCAGCATGTTGTCACTCACCATTTACTCTGTTCCATAGTTCTTTACCATTAACAGCATCAATAAAAGTGACTGAAGCAGGAGAACTTTCCGAATATTAATGAATCAAATGTGGTATACTGCCCAAAGTATACCACATCTCTTAGGCTGTCAGTTCTCCCAGTTTGGGGGAAGAAGTTCTGATGAGGACACTATGCAGTTTCTCTGTTCCATCAGAATCAAGTGGCACAGCTCAGGTTTTTTTGGGAGTATTGGATGTAGATATAGAAAGAACTGCCCATGTTGAAAAACTACATGTGTATATGCATGTGTATGTATATACACACACATATATGTATAAAAATACTGACAAATGTGAAAAATATATATATATATAACAATTTTTGTGTCTCCCTAGATTTATCTTGTGGGTAGTATGCTACTACATAAGGTGGATTAATTCTTGGGAACTCAGCAAGCTCTGTTTTGGAGTCCCTACATAGGAGGGTCTGAACTTCATACTAGTGACTTTTACCAATCTGATACAGGTTGAATGCTAAGATATGTACAGTATTAGTGATACGCATCTTTCTTGCAACTATTATCAGTTGCCAAACAATCAATACTTACACACATCTTAGATTTATGTGAAAGGCAACCATCCTTGTATGTCAGTGTTCTATTCCTCCTATCAGTTTTGTTCCAGTCATTCTAGGTGGAACAGTGTCTTCTGGTGGTGTTCCCTTTCATCTCCCAAACCTTGTACTGTGCATTTCTGTCTCTAGGCAGAAGACCTAGTGTCACAATTCCCTCAGTTTCCATTCACTAGCATGATTCCTTCTAAGTGGAAGGATCCCCATCAGGTCTGTGGAAGGATCCCCATCAGGTCTGTGTAAGGAATTAACAGCACATTTCTTAGATGCTAGTTGCTGTCAGAGTAACTGGGAAAAGCAGTCGTTATCTGTAGTGATAGAAATAATCTTCAATGGAGCAAAAACATGTCACCGTGTCAGGGTAAGAGGAGCTTGGCTGTGTATTCAGAATAGCTGTTCTTTGAGACAGTTGCCATTAGACAGGTAAGATAGTGCAAAAAGCTTTTGTCCTGTTCATCTAAGCCTATGGGTCTGACCTGCTGAAGGATGATGTTTCTCTTAGGCCGTCAGTTCTGTATAGTGGCCTGACACTGCAGAACAAGGAACCGTGGGAACTGAGCTGTCAGAATTGTGAGAGATGAAAGACACAGATGTATTTATCAGTCATAGCTGTGACTTGACAGATACTTCAAATGAAATAGTCTGATTCTGCTGTTCTGTCTTACTTGACTGTACATAGTTAAATTTTTAATTTGTGAAATGTGCCTCCCCCAGACATCTGCCTGGCTGCTTTCCAGTGCTTTGTACACCATTTCTAATGGAACTGTTAGATGCTCTCTTACATATGTACCAGTCAGTGCTTGAGCAAAAAAAAGTGAATTTGCTTTGTCACCTCACTTCATAAGTGTTAGTGCAGCAAAAGTCTGGCGGACATGTGACCACAATGAACATTTAATACCAGCATTTGCAACAGGGCTCCTCTGAAGCCCCTCGGACACAATCTTGAGCTTGACCCTTGAGCAGAGGAAGTAAACTTAAGTGGGATTCTTATATATCTATTATTTGATATTTTTTGTTTGTTGTAATGATTTAGTTGTTAAAAATGCTTCCTGCAACCATGATCTACTTCTGAAATGTGACAATAGACAGCGTAGTTTTGTGCTTACACTTGTTGCTTTCACTTCCAGTTACTTCTAAGACAAAATCTGGTGATGACATGATCTTATCATTAGAGTAGGTTAATACTCTAATATACCACAAAGCTAATATTCCTCTGATCTTATAGACTGATTAAAGCAGAATTTCAGACAGAGGTGGCAGCACCATAATCATATGGGCTGGCAAAATTTAGCATGTCTCTAGTACATAAGATTTTAGGCAAGTGCAGCTGACTGCGGAACAGAGTCCTGGAAGCTTCTCTTCGCATCTGTCTGCAGATCAGAGCAGAGCACTGCTCCCACCTGCTGTCTGTAGGCTGCTGCAGTATATTGCTAATGCTCAGCTTTGTCTGCTACACCATCGGGCAGTTTACTGGTTTGATGTTTTCTCTTGAGGCTCTCTAGTTTCTCTTGGTTTTTCCCCACAGCTTGACTAACAGAAATGTTAGTGTACTTTCAGACAGTAGCGTTTCGTTTTGGCTTCCTTGTAGATGTTTTTCAGAGAAAGTGTGGAACAAACTCAAACTGCTGTTTATATCCAGTGTTGGGATGGAAGATGAACTGCTTCTTGGGGAGTGTAGCCTTGGTCACTTCAGAACTTGTAGCAACGCAGTTGTGAAGGTGTATGTGCTAGCTACTCAGATTTTAGCAATCCCTTCTGGTAATACTTGCACAGAGACAAGACACAGACACAGATACTTGCAGACATTGTGAGACATGCACACCTACTTCTTTTGCTGAAGGAAGTCTTTGTTTCCCACTTGCACACGCAAGACTTTTACGTAGGATCTTTCATGCTCTGTGCAGAAGTGCTGAAGAAAGGTGTTGATACTGTCCATACAGTGAACAACCACACTGGCTGTAAATGTTTACTGCAAGACTACACACTGATACAGATGTTAAAATCTGTTTTGTAGATGATGGGAAAAGTAATGACTCTTTTTTTATACTCATAATTACTTTTCCTGTACTTAAGAAATTTTTATTTCTACTTAGGAAGTAGTTAAAGATGAGCAGATAAAACCTCAGTTTAACCAGATGTATTTGACACATGCACCAGCACTGGCTGCACGCCCAGTCCTTGATGCCTTGTTTACACAGTGCATGGTGGTACTTCTCAGTGTCTGTCTGTATCTACTCTCAGGCTTGCTGCACCTCCTTCCCCTTGAAAGCCGTATATTTTCCAGATGCTTTCAGTGCCTTTCATTGTCTTCCAAATTATTGTGATTTTTTTCTGGATTTAAGTTAGACTGGGCGAGTAAAAGACAAATCAAGATCTGACAGCACTTTTCTTGTTGTGTTTTTTTTTGGTGACCTGACATACATTTAAATGACTGTATGCTTGTGAAATAGTTTGTAGGGGACTTTTCAGAACAATGATAGGCTGTCTGTAACATATGCTGAGTAGCCCAAATTTTAATGTGCAAATTGCTTCTTTTTGTAAGCTGTGCAGCTCTCCCACCTGCAAGTCTCTGCTTCTGTGCTGCTGCTGAACATAATGATTCTAAATAACTAAAGTCTGAAGTTTCGCTCTTTTCACATGCTGTGGCATGTGGATTGTCGCTAGCACAGAGTTGTGAATAAGCCTGTTACAGGTACTCGGATTACTGCCTGCCTGTCTCCAGAAAGAATTGGCATTTTTTGAAAGATGTTTCAGTTCTGCAACTGTCATTCAAGAACCTAAAACTAGTAGCTGAAACTGGGTAATCAGAAGAGGTAGATGCTCCCTGGGGATCATGCACATCCCTAGGTAACTGCTTGGGCTCTCCCTAGGCTTTCTGTGCAGATCAATGTAACTTAAAAGCCATACATTGGCTACAATAGATGAGTCAAGTGCTAGCATCTTAGCTAAGACAGCTAATACCACTCTTCAGGTATGAAGTTTGGAATTTAAAAGCTAATCTAAACTAATCTTTCCTGTTTCTTGCTTTATTTTCTGAAGTACTGATTCAATTTCAGATGTTACACTAAAGATACAGCCCACAAACATATCTCAGTACTGAAGGACATCAAGAAAAAGAAAAACTGTACTGATGTGTTATGAGTTCTTTGTTTTAAACAAAAAATTGTGCCCAAGATGGCAATTTTATTTTTTTTATGATTTTGACTGAAGGATTTTGTAATTTATAAACCATTGGCTTATAGCCCTGAAGTATTCTGGGCTTTTCTGACCTTATGAATAGTTTCATTATATTCTCATAAACATTACTTGTGATGGAAACAATTAGCAAAGAAGGTACCTGGTGCAGTCATGCTGTTCAAGCCGAGGAACCACTTGAAAGCAATCCAGCCACAATCTGAATAGCAGTGCTCCTATGCTGCAGCAGGAAACACCATGCCTTGGAAGTCAGTAGTGTGCTCTCATGTACTCTCCTCCGCTCTCTTGGAGAGGAGGGGCTAAGGCTGCTGATGGGCACTGGAACTTGGCACATCCAAGAGCACTTGTGCACACCAACCATTTTGTTCTTAACAAAGCCTGTGCTGTTTTCAAACACTTTGTCTTAACACAATACTAGTTTTTAATAAATTGTCTTTGTTTGCGCAAAGCTTTGCCATGGGAAAGCTGCAGAGAATTGTCCACAGGTAATATCCAATATTGCTGTAATTATTTAAATACTGTTCCTACTATAATTTTTCAAATCCAGTTGTTCACGGTGGGTGTTAACACCATCATATATGGGAGGAGACTTGCAATCTCCTGCCTATGAGTATAGGCAGTGTACAGGGACGTAGATATACCTATATGCACTTGACTTTAATTGAAATATGTTCTAGCCTGAAAAAAAAAAATCAGCCTTAGATAAATAGGTATACTGAATGAGCTAATGGAAAAAGTAATGGCAAATGCTAACTAAACAGCTGAATAAAAATAGCCTCTCTGCTTTCATAGTGCTGTTAAAGGTCAGCTACTTAAAAGTACTGTGATTTTGAGGATATAGAACTGGAATAGTATTGTTACAAATCCCATTGGCCTCTTGAAAGTTTAAGCCTAAAGATAGTTGGGCTTGGGGGTGGAATCCACTACCCATTATGGGCGGGATGTTATTTTTTATATGGTGGCGGTACTGAAATCGTTGTTATTCATGTAGATCTTCTAGCGAATCATTCCTGCCTGGTCAGACGTGGCAAATTTGGTTGGTTAGGTACATGCTGGCTGTTGCCTAAACCTTAGAGATCATCAAAAATTGAAGACGTGCCCCAGGTCTTGTCCAGGAGTTGTGCAGTCTTGCAGACACAATATGACAGCCATTTCCCTTCTACGTTCCTTGAACCAGTTCAAAAGCAGGTTCAGTATTATTAACATTGTCAGGAAAGGGTTTGGATGTTTTTGTTGTATTTTCTTCCCATTGAAGAAAGTGATTTTTGGACGTGTTTTTTGCAAGTCTCCTTGGTCCTGGCTGCACAGTTGACATTTTTTAGTATAGGATTTATTTTTTTTTCCTTGCCCCCTGCTGTGCATATACAAGCTAACAAATGAATGTACACAGTGATGATACTAACCTCAGGTGGAAGGGGTGCCCACCAGCTTTAAACCAGTTTGACATGAGATGAAAGCTGGGTTTGTACCTTTTCTTTTTTTTCTTTTTGTGAAAAGTGAGGTGTTATATATATGCCATATATATATATATGCCTTACAGAAGCCTTTTATACATATAAGGCTGGGCATGGCAGAAAATGTTGAGGGACAATACTGCATTAGTAGCTAGAAAGTGTTACCATATTAATCTCTTTCTCTCTTTCAGATTGAATTGCGAGATGCCCATGCAAAATTCCACGTGCTATTCCTTTTCTTTGTGGCAGCCATGTTCTTCATCAGCATACTGTCACTCTTCAGCTACCACTGCTGGCTAGTTGGCAAAAACAGATCAACCATAGGTCAGTTAACTGAAATATGAAACTGTTCCTTGTACAGAAAGCCAGCAAGCTGATGAGAACCTGAGGCCTACAAAATATACCATCACATATAAATGGAATTTTTAAATGTTTTGTAATCGTATTTGCTAAAAGTAATTAAAGGTGAAATGTATAGGAAAATTAAGCATGTTTAAGGGCCCTCTGCTAGCCAAGCCTTTGGGTTCATGATGAATGTTTCATTTGTTTTGTTTGCATTTTTGAGATCTCTGAGACACTATGCACTTCTGTTGCACTTTTATGGAGTTTTCAGTAACACAGGTGGTACTTGCAGGTAACCCTCTTGTTCCAGTGCTTTGAGTAGCTGAGTGGCCCAACCAAAATGAAGGTTCTACTGTATGTGAACATACTACATGAACTACATTCAAAAGAGTATTCCTAAATCCTGTGAAATAAAATGGATCTCACTATTAGGAAGTGGCTTGTAAGAGTAGTGTGATAAAAATGGAAACACTTGTGCGCGTTTGCTAAATAATAAAATAGAATCCAGTAATTTCTGTGCCTAAATGCTTTAAATGGCAGTGACAAGCATAAGCAAGTTACAGGCATTAGTTAAAATATCTGAAGTTCATGCCAAAGTGGTTTTGAAAGTGTTTTTTTGTACGGTGAGGCAGGACAGGGACTGGTGGGTATTTCCACAACTAAGTCAAAATCTTAAGCCATTCAGTGAAAGTTAAATTTCTGTCCTCAAAAATAAGTGTTGATTAAACATCAAATAGTTTTCCACTTGCTAGAACTTTTTGATGGAGGAAAAGGAATTTTTTTGTTGCTTTACAGGAGGGGTTTCTGAATCCTTCTGACATATCTACATCTTAGGATTATTCACAGTCTCTTTAGCTTTAAAGAAAATTTTAACACACTTCTTGCCCAAAAGTTAGTGGTCATAATTGGCAACACAGTCAGTACTTTATTTAGCTTCTGGATCATGATTGTAAAAAAAGACAAGCTGTTTGTAGAGAGAGACCAGTGAGTCTTCTTGGTTCTTGCCAAGGGTGTAACCAGACTGACTAGAGAACTAATGGTGTTTTGCTGTAGTTCATGGTGTCTGTGTATAGTTCATGGTGTCTGTGTTTATAATGTGATAGATCTCGTCCTTCTTTGATACCATAGGATGCTCGTAATTCAACTTCGTGCCTTGACAGAAGTGGAAAAAGCTATCCTGTGTGGGTTTAGGTCCAGTAGTGCTTATGGTAAATTGCTTCTGGAAGAGGAAGTCTTCTGCTCAAAGAATGAAGGATGTGGAATCTTTGGGATGCTGACAGTGCTTAGCTCTGTGTTAGACCTTATTTTAAATATAAAGTGAGGAAAGTGACTGTTCTGCTTATGTGATTGGCTTACTTTTTGTTGTTAACCCTGTGATTATTTTTTTATGCTGATTACTGGATTACTTTTTCCCTTCCCATAACACACATCAAGATTGTCTCAGTTGCCCAACACACTTGTTTTCACAATAGAGAAGTTCATGTCTGTTTATTCATCTTCCCCAACTCCTTATAACTTTAGAGATACTACAACGTGTCTTTCTTTTACAGAAACATTCCGTGCACCCACATTTCGAAATGGCCCTGATAAAAATGGCTTTTCTCTTGGATGCAGCAAAAATCTGAGGGAAGTTTTTGGAGATGAGAAGAAGTATTGGCTACTCCCTATCTTTACCAGGTATTCAGTCTGAATGGGAATGAATTGGGGAATATATTGATACTACAACTTTCACTTTGCTTCCCCTTCTCCTAAAAAGTAAAGCACAACTGAAAAGCTAACTTACAAATCCTGTGTTACAAATACTGGTGTAAGGAAAACATGCAGGAGAAAACTGACCAAACTCAGGAGTTTCATTCAAAGACAAGGTCCTTGTTGACAAGGGCCTTATAATACGGAAGTTTGGAAAACTTTGAGAAGAGTATTTTGGAATTCGTACACCTTCTGGTGGTAGCATTAGTGTATGATTGTACAGCAGAAATCAACAACTCAGAGGACATCCAAATGCTTGAACTTAAGCTGCATTGAAACAGCTTCAGTGTAAAAACACCCCCTCTTACCCCTAAAAAAACTTGACAGCTTTCCTTTTGCTGTAGATGGCAGTTTCAGTATTGAAAGCTGCTTGAGAGAGTGCATGTAAATAAGCAGCAGTGCAAGAAAAATTCTGATGTAGTGCAAAATACTGGTTTTAAAACTTCGCCTGAGCCAGTGTTAGGGAGCTGCAGACAAACATCAGAAGCTTGATGAAGCAGGACTGACCTTCTGCCCACTCCCACCACTCCCAAAAGTCAGCAGATGGCAAAAGTAGGAGCTTGTATTTCAACATTGCTTTTGGAGGGTTGTGTATCAGTGAGCCCATTTGTGAATCTGAAGTCTGGTAGCAAACAGCAGAGGTAAAAACAAGATCTTCAGCTGCCTCAGCTGTTTTACTGTGCTTAAAGACAGAAGCTGTATTGTAGATAGAGCAGTCTGTTTTGCCACCGCATTTTACCCTGAATAACTTGCTTTCAAAGATGGCTTAGCTGACCTCAAAATAATGGGCAGAGGGGAAAGCATAGCCACCAGAATATTATTTATGCTGAAACTTCTGGGTCTGTAAATACCAGATTGCCTGACTATGTGTGCACAGTGGTTTGGGGAAAGACTAAGGCTACAGTCTCCAGAAACACAAGTGATGCTTGTGAAATACATAGAGTAGGGCTGTGCTCAGCAATCCATCCTGAGTGTTAGGGTGGGAATCACTTCAGCTCCAAGACTGAATTAACTGATCATCTGGCTTAGTGGTAGAACTGCCTTGCATAAAGCTGGAGTTCAACACTGCACTCAAGTAGTGGATTCGAGCCTGTAGCGTTTGCCTTTTGTATGGGTGCTTGTTCAGTTCATTTAAGTCAACTACAAACAGTGATTTGAATCCTTGTTTCTGGTTTAGTTTGGGCGACGGGTGTAATTTTCCAACTCGTTTGGTGATTATGGATCCAGAACAACTTACTGTCTCAAGCCAAAATGAACCTGCCAAAAGGTAACTGTAGCATTTAAGACACTGATTTTTTACTGTTATGTACTTTATACAGAGAAAAAAATTGTTTTAGAATTATTTTTATATATATAGTGTTTTGTTTTGTTTTTTTTTTTACTTCTTGTTGTCTTCAGGGAAGGACAGAATGGATCAAGACAAAAAAAATAGTGCTGTTTGATTCAGGATGGCTGTTTCTTGGTTTTGCCCTGTAACAGGATATGGCTCTAAGGAAACAGTAATACAGAATGTAAGAGAGCTTACTGGCTCTTAACAACAGGCAAGTCCTAAGGGAGACTGAGTAATGGCCCATGGAAAAGAAAGTTTAAGATATCTTTTTGAATGAGAGGCAAGGCATTATTTGTGCTCCGTCTCCTCTACCATGCTTAAACAAGGGATGCTGAGCCACAGTTTGCAGGAGAGGTAGATCACTGTGGCTTTTGCTGGGGTTTAGTACTGGAGGGTTTTAGCTCCTTCCATTTTACCTCTCCGGATTTGCATGGTTTGTGTCTCCAGTGTATTTTCAGGAAGCTTCCTTTAGATTGAAAGATACAGGACTATGTGGAAGCTTCTGGGGGTGTTTACATGTGCCATTTTAGAAGTGCTCTGTATAGCTTGGTAAATCTGTAGCTGGAGGTTGTTGTCAATAGGTCACCTGAATTATCAGGTGTTGGAGTGTTTCAGAGGCAACACAGAGAAGAATTGCTTCCAGCGCAACACAGCCTGGCGGATTTACACAAGGGCAAGACCCTTGTACAAACAGCAGAGTATGCTTTGGCATTAGGAACGTGTTCAGCAGAAGGCCCTAGAGTTAGGTTGCTCTTCCAGACAGTACTTGTTAGGTTTTCTTTTTAGCTGTGTGGCAGCAGCATTGTTGTCAGTATGCCATTTCTTGGCTATCAATCTGCTTTTTTCCATTAGGACTGTGAGTGGCCTGTGTCAGGTGAGGGTTTAGACTAATGGCCGGAACAAACCTATAGGAGAATTTGGGCTGGAGGACCAAGGATCATTTCTTGTTGGCAGTGTAGGATTTTTCGTTTGCTTTGCCCTTAAGTAACTTCACTGCTGAAATAAGCAGCTACTGCTATTACAGAATTCCTGTTGACTTTGCTTCCTTTTCAGCCCCGGAGCCAATCAGTCCTTTCCCACTCGGCCACTCAGTGAATCACAAAATCGATTGCTAGCCAATGACAGTCAGTGGGTGGAGAGTGGCCCTGAAGAGGAGAATGTTAAAACAGGTTAGCTGGCACCACTCATGAGTCTGTGTTTTTGTTTATGGTGGGTTTCTCAATTTATTTTTTTTTCTTAGGGCCTAAAAATGCATTAGGAATTGGTTGGGGTAAAGTAGAAAAAAATTTGTCTCGTAGAATCAAGTTGGCATGTTTAGAAGTTAAGGCTAACTTGTGTCTCATGCTCTGCTCCGAAAGGAGTTAACTAAGGTAATGAATTGAAAATTGTCACTTTCACTGAGGGTTTTGGATCTTTTTACATTTATTTAGGGCAAGGAAGATATTTTTTCTAAAATAGGCACAACACAATAAATGTGCTTTCTGTTTTGAAGTGTTTGCTATTTGTTGTGCAAATCTTGAGAAAACACATAACTGAGACTCTCTCACATTTTAGGTGCAAAAAAGAATATTATAGTTTCATTGGAAAGCTGATCTCAGCTTATTACTAACCAACCATCTCAGTGAGAAACAGGTAAGACGAACGTAATTGTTTGCCATTTCTGTATATGTATGACTAAACAAAAATAGACATCTTGAAGTCAAAAGTCACTAGTCATGGAATGCAGAGGAGTCCTCTGATGTTGGATGAGTGAGAGAGAAGTCTAAAACTCAGAATGGCTGTCCAGAAGACAAGAATGGGAGTAATGCTGTAGTGCAGGAAACATGGGCTGGCTAGATCTGAGTCAGACTAATCCTGTAATTGAGGTGGAAGTGGGGAGTGCTGGATTTGTTACCTGACTAGCAAAAAGAATCTGATCTGCTAAACAGGCAGTTTCAGATTTCACAGATTATTCTAGAGACAAGAACACAATTTGCAAGAGAGAGCCAGTCCCCCAGCCAGCAGTTCCCCAGTCTCACCTAGGCAAATATAATTTGTCTCCCTATCAGTTTACTTAAAAATGAATGAGCAATTCTTGCCAGTCAAGGATCCAGGAGACTTCAGCCACAGGTGATGCATTGACTTGAGTACAGATAATCTTCTAAAATCTAAGAGGTTTAAAACAAAAACACCAAATTACGAAAACCCCATGCCTCCCAGAAGGCTAATTATGAGTTGAAGTTGCCTTAACTGCTCTCCTGAACTGGGAGTCTGAAAATCTCATTATTTAGCTGCATTCTTGTAATGCACTATGGTAAGGGTTTTTTTTTTCAGAGCTAATGATATAATTCCACTAATTACCTTTTTGTTTCACTAGGTTTCTACAACACATTTTGTGCTTGAATATTACTTAATTCTGTTTGGAAGAAGTTGATCAATAAAATATGGAACATGAACATTTTAGGAAGAGACAATTACAGTTTCTGCACAGTACAATGGATTCTTGTAAGCACTATTGCAGAGCAGGGAAGTTAAGACAGATGCCTTAAGATTCTCAACGTGCATTTATGCAACACTGAGTTATATACTGCTACCAAAGGGCCAAATCGTGAAGTGCCCTGCTGGGATGTACAAGGTCCAGAGTGGGAACTATGCATTTCTGTTATGCTGCAGTGGTGGGGGTACATCCTCCCTCCCCAGGGGCAAACTTCAATACCTTAGGCACTGCAGAATTCAATTCTGTAGCCAGTCTTCAGGGTACGGAAAGAAAGAAAGAAAGAAGGAAAAAAGAAAAAAAATTAAAGGAGAAAATTAAAAAGAAGAATCAACATAGAGCATGGCTGATGAGTCTGAAGTGCATCTATACATGGCTGAAATGACAGGTAATGGGGAAGAGACTGGATGTCTTCCCTCTTCCTCCTAACCAGTCTACCCCATGGTCATAGCTCTCCATGCCTTTCTGGACTGAGGATTCCTTCTACCTGTGCTTTGGAGCAAGGCAGTGCCAACAACGTGGAAGCCTTTTACTTGAGTGTTGCTTTTCTGCTATAGGATTGAGCCCCCTCATCATTTTAACTTGATTTATTTAACCATATCAAGAAAGCATTCAAAGAAGCAAAGTTGGGTTTTAGCTGAAAAAAAAAAAGCAGATTATTACTTTCAACAAGTGTCTCAGCATACCAGGAAAAGCCAGTCCAAAAAGGAATCGGCAATTGTTTTGTGTTCTGCTAATGTCTGCAGTGTTCTGTGTGAGACAGAATGGTAAAGTACCCCTGAGAAAAACCTTATTGCAGTTGTGTGTTGTTAGAAAATGGAACTAGAAGAGCCCTGCTTTTTCTATGGGACTCTTGATGGTTTATAAATGCTGTTTTATACTTTTGTTTTATCTTTTTAATAAAGGCACAAGTTTTTATTGGTTCTAAAGTACCATTTAAACAAGTATGTAGGAGAAAATTAGTGTTGGATCATAAATCTATGTTCACACTGAGAATTTGTGTGCTTTAGTCTGCCACTTTCAAGCCCAGTTTAAGTGATGCTGAGATTACGCGGGATTTGAGTGCTTTGTGCAGTGATGTACCTGTTCACAGAAGGCAAAATGTGTTCCCCGTGTGAGGAATAAGCTCAAGACCTGCAGCAAACGAGATGGGTTGTTTCCCCCCCACCTCCTCTGTAGAGAAGACTGCTAACTCATCTCTGTGTGCTGTTGGAATTTTGCACCAGGAGAAATGACAAGTATTTCTTGTCTGTACTGGTTCTGATGTTCAGCTGCTGATGATTACAAATAGATGTGAGCCCTTTTGATACAGACTGAAGGTAGTAGCAGTGTTGATCTGGACCGAAAGAACCTGTTTGATTTCTTGCCCAGACTGATTACTGCTTAAGTCAAATATGTTCATGATGGAGATATGAGCGTATCAAGTATACCTAAGGTTTAAAACAAGTATGTTTTTGTCTTTGGAAAGAATAATTTTTTCTTAATCTTCTAGAACAAGAACACTTTGAGAACCTATGACATGATTGGGTCACTGTTGGATGTTCTTGAGTCGGAAGTAATGGTCCAAACTGGCCTGTTTCATAAAAGTTGCAGAATGTTTCTTCAAACTTTGTACAAAAAATTTTGTGTTGGCTAATTTCAAGATTTACAGAAACACTTGCTACACACAATCTGAAAGGTTTAGCTTTTTCTTCTCAAATGTTAAGTGCTCATCTGAACATAAGCTCTCAACAGTGTTGCACTAGCAGAATTTCTTGGGGAAGACAACAGAGACAGAAGACTGCACGTTCAAATGGCTTGTTCTGAATACCAAAATTTGCAGCCCTGAACACTGGTAGAACTGTAATGGAGGGCCTGGGATATCATCTGGCTTTCACTGCATCAGTGTGTTACAGCTGAGGTGACACACTCATGCACAGTCTGTGTCTCTAATATGGTAATCACTGGTTCAGGAGCATGGTCTCTGCTCCTCCCCACCCCCGAATGTGCTGGGTATACCCCCATATGATTGTGTATATATACTGTAGGCTAGTATCAGGATAGCTTCTTTGATTCTGTGAGTCAGGATTCAAGTAAACAGACTGAGCTCACTCCATGTGTGTTCTCTGGCAAGTGCTAGTCTTCTGAAACCAGCTTTTTGTATATCTAAGGGACATATTAGTGGCTTTTCCTGATGAGCTGATGTTTCTGACATCTTTATGCAGATTTTTCTTGTGCTTCAGATGAGAGGAGGAGGACAGCAGCAGTGTGCTTAGGTACTCTTGAGGCCAGAGTAACTGTTGGTGCAAAAGCAGGCGTTACTGGAAAGTCACTCTGACAAATACGAAACCTAATAAAATGATCAAATACCAAATTCACCACTCCCAACCCTGTCTGTAGTCACCCCCTGCTAGAGAAACCCCAGACTGATATAAAGGAATTCAGTTCTCCAAGGGAACTTACTGATGAACTTTAAGGACATAGCAGGGGCGGGGGAGTGTCAGGCTTTCCTCGCAGGCCCTGGCTGCAGAAAAGGTACCACACCTAAGGCAGCAGGACCATGTCCTTTGTTCTGTCTTTCAGAGTTCTGTCCTGACAGCTCTCTAGCCGTAAGCAAGGGCACTCTGTGCTCTATTGAAGAGCAGGACAGGCAAAATGAGGGCACAAGCCAGGAATTTTAATAGGTGGTGAGGACAAACAGCTGTTTGTCTGTTGAGTTCAAGCAGATGTGGGTATCATTGCCAGCAGAGGCAGGGGCCTGTAGGGAGGCTGCAGGAAATAGGTCCTTCTGCATCAGTGGCTGCAGCAAGAAGAGCAGCCCTGCCTGTTTGGGGGGCTGGGAGGGATGTGGATCCTGAGAGAACAACTGTTTACGGTTCTGGGTCATGTTGTACATAAAGGTTTTGGGCTTAAACCTGGTCAGCAAGGTATCAGCAAAGCTTGAAAATACCTGAACTGTCACTAAAAATAACAGCCCTTAAGCTTTTAGACCATCAAAATAATTACTTTTGCAAGCCATAAATATTGTGGTTAATGTAGAATAGCTGGCATTAGCTGCAATTAGAAACTATGCTTTTGTATTTCTTACTACTTTCTTCTTTTAAAAAAATCCATATACACACACAAGTCATACACATAAAATGACATTAAAGTCCCTGTGCGATGAGAGAAGCCCAACATTGGGCAAGATTTTGGTGATCTCTCCTCAAGGTTTCTGAAATGGCTTGAGATGATAAACCTGTTGCCATGACGATGAGGTGGGGAGATCTGTAAACAGAAAATACTTAATGCAGCTAATACCGTGTTTTTTCCCTTGCAGTTATTTATTTACAGAGTGTACAATATACACATCATTGCTGCTCCTACCAAAGGCATCTTGTGGGAAAAGGGCAGGAGGTCAAGGTTTGACTTCCTACAGTACTACCCTGAGATCACAGTGTTAAGAGTTAGATACCGGAAAACCTTTGGTTAAAAACTTCCACTTTAAATATTCAGAGGGAGTTCGGGCACTTTTGTTTTTAGTGATTTGAGTAGAAATCGTGGTAACGTTTTTGTTAAAGCTGCGCCTTGAGCGTGGAATTTGCAGGTACCAAGCTCCTTCTGGTATGCTTTTCATGGAACCTGGTGCTGTTTCCAGTGTGCTCACTGCCTGCAGTTTTCAGTACTGCTGCTTCCCTCACTCAGTCCCATGTGGCTCTTCTGTCTTGTGAATAATCATTTGGGGGTTGGAGGTTTGGGTTTAGTGCAATACCATTCAATACGCACTCGAAGAACTTCTTGATCTACGTGAAGTATGGTCTGGCTGTAGCTCACCAGAGTGCCAAGAGAAGGCAAAGGGCAGCGCTTGCAGCAGCATTGGCGTCTGATGGATTTACCAAGAGATGCACTGACTCTGACTTAACCAGATCTGCCTAGGTCTGGAGCACTGACTTTATTAAAAATGGAAAATAACCAAAAAACCCACCACAAGTTTGAGGTTCATAGTGTATGTTCTCTGAGGAGATAGTCTGAAGTTGTATGGAATGGGGTGGGAATTCAGGTGTGCATTTACAGAGGCCCCAAACAGCGTCTGCTTTGACTCAGTGCAGAGCAAGAACACATCTCTCACAGTACCTAGAAAATAGCTGGGTCAGCAACATCAGAGGCTCTTTTATCCCTAAATGGCACCAAAGAGAGCAGCTGCATATACAATGATTTGTTAAATACCGAGCATATTTACTACACTCGTTTCTATCCATTTATTTCATATATATAGACAGCTTTGTACATGCATTTGTCTTAATTACATATCTGTCATGAAATGTAATGAAGCTGCAAGTTGTAGTTAGCTTTAATGCTGATTAAACTCATGTTTGGCTGTTTGTTTTCTGCAGCAATTACTTGAATTTTGTTTCCATTAGGTAGTGGTCTGATAATGTTTACAGGACTGCTTTCGTTGGTTTTGGGGCTCCCCACTCCCTGCCCCAGGAAACAAGGAAGCACATGCTCAGCCGTCAGGCGAATGTTGGGATCACCTTATTGGCACCAAAGTATTCACGGTGACATGTAGATTCTCTCCCATCTACACTGCTTAGCTGACAACTTATGTGCTTAGCATGTTCCTTTCTGGTTTCTCCTCTCCCTGAACCTGTTGCTATCAGCTTTATTGCGAGGAACTTAAATCCTTCTGAATGGCAACTCACAATCAAACTATCGCAGACAGGGGCGGTGTTCCTGCT